CTGAATTGTACCCCATATTTTTAAAATAAATAAAAATAAACTTTTTAAAGGAAAATAGAATGAAATGAAGTAGAATGTATAGAAGCATGACATAGATATCAGAAAGACTTTCCCAGGTGCTTGGGTGCTGTCTGAGAGCCAGGTTTGAGAGCTTTTCCAGACCTTTGCTTCCATCGATGGGCCAGGGCTCTACTCCAATGGAATCGGGCACACGGTGGCATGCAGATCAGATTTGGTGCCCATGTAATATGTGATGGCATAGACTGGGAAGCAAGATTAAAGAGTAGATTTTCATCACTTGTCCTGAGAATCATCACATAGCCCATTCCTTTAGGTAGTGATCCTGCCCATCTTTTGTCATATTACCTTTTGTCAAGTACACAGAGCAGCAGTAATACTGTAGCCATTAATAATAGTGTGTTTACCCTATTATTTTCTACTATTTTCCTTAAGTATAAATATATATTCATAGATATTAATATATATTTGTTAAATAAATATGCATATGTTTCCACAAAGTCTTTATAATTGCTATCTGTTATACAAAATACTATAATATTCATGGACCATAATGCAGTAAATTTTTTCCTAATGTTAAATATTTAAACTGCTCACTTGTTTACTTTAGAGTCAACTCTAGATTTAGAGCATTTATTGTACCTCTTAGATACATGTAGGTTACTTTTTAGGTTAAATTTCCAATGTGCTAGGGTAAAATACATGCACAGCTTCAAATACCTGTGCAATGTATTGCAACATTACTTTCCAAAGGACTGTATCGTTGTGTCATGCTGATAGCTAGGAACAATCATGCCCATTTTGCCACAATCTCTTCACCTGAATATTATCAAACCATAAAGCATCATGTACACAGCTAAATTCCATTTCTAGGCCATATTAACTTTCAGACTTCTACTTTGTTGGATGTTGTACAAATACATTTCATAGCTTCTGGAGGAAACCTGGACTTCAGTCCTAGGATCCCAGGACTATTCCCAAAGGACTCTCTGGAGTCGAAAGGAACAGGGGAGTTGGATATCTTTGGCCACCTAGGCTCAGCAGGGAGCTGAACAGCTTGGAGGAGGCACAGCTTTATCCATGGCCTTGTCTCCAGTCTAATTTTCCACTAGCCATGTTCTAAGGTATTCATACATGGTGAGTCAGTGACTGGAAATTCAGAATACATTTAGTATTATAAATGTGATGGGCAGATAAAGGTATTTTAATGCATTAAGAGGTGAAATACAGTGTTTGTTTTTGTTTTGTTTTAATATCAGAACCCAGATCTGTGGTATCTCTTTTATCTTGTATGCATTATGAAATAAATGCCAACCATTTATTTGTAAACATCTCACTGCCTATCACACCCACTCTCAGATATCAGCCTCCCCAACTTCCCACAGCCACCGGGAAGTGGAGACAAGACAGCACCAGGAGACACAAGGAAGAAGGAGTTGGTATGAATAGGAAGTGATAAAAATAGTAGGTCTAAAGATCTGTTGTGACACATGAACAAAGAACTCCAGGATGCCTGCAGGAGGGCAGCTGGACTCACCATTCTCCCTCTATGAGCACCAGCTCATGGCTCAAAGTTGAGAGAAGTCTAGATTCCTGCCCAGACTGTCTTTCCAAAAGCCTGAAAAAAACCTTCCACAGAAGAAGGTTAATATAAATAGGAATTGACAAGTATCTCCTAGTATGAAAGGTCTCTGAAGTAGAGTTTAAGGGATAGAGAATGGAGGGGGAGGGATAGACATGCTGTCCCAATGAAACTAGGGACTGCATAAGAGGCTGAGCCCACAGAGGAGGGGGCTGAGCCTAGGGGTGGAGTAGGAGGACATGCTGACACTTGAGGAAGGAGAATGAGCTTGTGGTGGGAGGGACGAAGAGAAGGGATGCTTGGCTCTCTGGAAGCAGATGCTTGGTATATTTGGTGTTTGCCACATATGGAGAAGCCAGGGCCATGGATACGTATCACAGAATAAAGAGGTAATTCACAACTTTTAGAGGCTACACAGAAAAACAGTTTCTGATCCTACAAGGAAGAAGCAAGGCTGAGGTTTTTTGTTTTGTTTTGCTTTGTTTTAATGGGGAAAGTATGGAGCTCATTCTGCAAAGGGGTAAGAAGAGGATCTATATAAAGATGACAGAGCCATGATGGGTGGGGGTGTTTTGACTTCTTACAGCTGGCATCTGAAATGTTCCTGACAGCATGGTCAGACCTAAGAAGCCTTATGTCTCATGCAAACTCTGTGACAAATGAGAAAGGTTGGGAGACGTCTGCAAGTACAGAAAATTCTGCAAACTTGGGGAATCCAGGAGAGGTTTGGGTACCTCATTCTATTCAGTGTGAGGCTGAGAGAGAAGGGCCGAAGGAGTTCTGTGATCTGGGATGCCAAGGAAGTAAAGACATGTGGGGAGTGAGAAGTATTTCATAAGGATAGAGGCAGAATCTGGCCTGTCTTGCTGTAGTTGGAATTTCTGGTTTGACCCTCATCACAAAATGTGCTCCAGGTGCTCCTGTTCTGGTGTTATCAGTTAGATTCGGGATCTAGCCATATGCTTCCTCAAGCAGAAACAAGAAATATAATTGTTGTGTGGTACAGTGGCACATGCCTGCAGTTCCAGCTACTTCAGAGGCTGTAGGAGGAGGATTGCTTGAGCCCAGGAATTGGAGTATAGCCTGGGCAACATAGCAAGACCCCTAAATACACACACACACACACACACACACACACACACACACACACGCACACATACACACACATACACACACTCAAATTTGTTTTTTGTTTACAAATGAGGAGATTGAGTATCTGGGACCACCCAGCAGGTCAAGAGGGAAACTCTTACTTTATTCTGTTTTCTTACCTACCTTCTTGGTTAGCAGGAATTTGAGGATGAGTCATTGCCAGCATCCTTTCCGAATGTTTCTTCCTTCTCAACTTACTCTATAAGGTGGCAGGACTATAAATGTAACTCCCTTCATGAAGCTGTGCTTACCTATCCCTGAGTCCAAACTGGAGCTGCCACAAATGCTTGTGGCTTGAAAGAAGCCAAGTGCTCTGTTGCAGTGGCCACATCAGGCTTTCCATGGAGTCAGTTTCCACTCCATTCAAGCCACCTTTTTTTCTCCTTGGAGCGTCACTTGAAAGGTAGAAATGAATCTGATCTTAGTTCTTCTTTCAACATTACATGCCCTTTTGAAATTGTACAAATAACAATGTATGATTGTCACGTTGAAATGAGAGTATGGATATGAAATGCTCCAAAGTCTGACTGAAGCCAAATATTAGGTCATAAGTCAACATTTTGCTGAGAAACTTGGTTACAAAGAAGTTGAAAATTTATATCTTTCCATGAAAAAAAAAACTTATCTGGCAGCAGACCGTTATCTTGCTACATGTATGGAGAGAGATGTGTGTCATTTTGCAACCTTCAAAACCCTAACTTCTGAAGTTGGGTTGGTTGAGAAATGAGGCTTTGGTGTAATATTTGAATTGCTCCCTGAGGTGAAACACAATGGGTGGCACAGATATGTATCATTTCTTACAAGGTCATTGGGAAAAATTGTGTGAATGGCTAGGAGCAGCCTCTTCCCACTGCGAGAGGTCACATTATGCTCACAGATCCTTCTCATGGAGAACTTCTGACAAGAGAATGAGCCATGTTGGACCATGGGCATATAGAGTCTTGAAAGAAATAAAACTTTGACTAGCTTCAACCAAGCAGCCATGACACTCTTTGGAAAGTCTCAATGGACATCAAGACGCAACTGAACAAAGGCAGGAGCTGGGGACAATGAAGCCTGTAGTTTTCCAGGTTGGCCTATTGTCTGTGATACTTATTACAAAGCCCACTCTAAGGTCCTCTATCATCTCGTGTGAGCTGGCAGGACCGAAGGAAAAGGTAAAGAGGTGTCTGTAGGTTAGGACCAAAGGAAAAGGTAAAGAGGTGTCTGTATGCTCACTACAATATTAAAGCCAGGCATTTTGCCAAATTAAGAACACTATGCTCTATTTTAAGATGGCCAAGTGACAATGTCAAGTTTGCATCTCCTTCTAGAAAGTAAAGCAGCTTGCACTCCCTCTAAGTGTCCAAACCCCAAAGTTAGAACTGTGGCTCAAGATAGAATTGAATGTCTGCTGTGGATGGGTATAACAAAGTAGGACTTTAGCTGTAGCCCAAGACAAATTGTAGATGGAATAATCTGTAATCACTGCACTGATATAGAAACACTGATGCCAGAAACCTGCTCCTGTGTGTGTGTACATGAGTTTATGCACACATGTATGAGGATGTATACATGAGTGTGTGCAGGCATGTGTGTATGTACAGGCATGTCCATACCTTCATGTGTGGACAGTGAAATGCAAGTGGCACCATAACAGTCAAAACCTGCACTTGATGGGTTCTTCCCCATGCACAGGGAACTCTATACATTTTCTTGTGCTTGGTATTAAGTCATTGCTACTTGAGGCACTGAACTCAGGACCGTTGCCCTTGTTCATTCTAAGCAGGGATCAGTCAGATTCTAAGTAGAAATATTCAATGGTTAAGATTTATCACAGTCCTGTCCTCCCCTCTTCCTCATTCCCACACTGCTATGCTCCCCTACATTTCTGATCTAGGACTCTCAGTCCCCCGGGGTTAGACTTTCTGTACTCTCCAAGGATGAGCCCTCTGGTCTGAGATGTAGGCTTATGCCACTGTGACCAGGAAGCTCATCCTAGAACCCACCAGCTCCTTTGCCCACCCCTCTCTGTGACATGTGCTGTAGCTGGAGCTAGCAAATCTTTGGCATTAACCAAACTGAGCAACATCAACCAATGCGGGTGTTTATAGTCCAGAAATTGGTAGCAGAGTTGGTGATGCCGTGTGCTGGGCAGGAGGATAATGTAGGATGGGTCCTTCAAATCCCATCATCAAGATGTCTCGCTGCTCAAAACTGACACAGCAGATCAGGCTTGCCTGACTTCATGGTCATTTTGGTCTTCTAGGCAAAGAAGGGGAACTATGCCTTCCTGTGGGATGTGGCCGTGGTGGAATACGCAGCCCTGACAGATGACGACTGCTCAGTTACTGTCATCGGCAACAGCATCAGCAGCAAGGGCTATGGAATTGCCCTGCAGCATGGCAGCCCCTACAGAGACCTCTTCTCCCAGAGGTAGGCGCGAGCAGCAAGGCGGCTCCAGTGATTGGGGGTAGGAGATAAGAACCAACACACACCTGTTTGTTTACAACATTTTCCTAAGCACCAACTATGCCCAAGTGCATCCTCCTTCCCCTTTTTCAAGCCCTGTGATAGGTGACAGAATATAAACAGGAAGTATATGGTCCCTGCCCATGAAGGCACATCATCTATGTGGGGACTGTGATGTGATATAGTATATCTACAAGGATGTGCAAACACCACGATTGTCTTTTTCTAGAGTATTTTCATCATCCCCCCAAAAAGCCCTGTACCCCCTAGCAGTCGCCCACTTTCCCCTCCAGTTCCTGGCAATTTCCAGTTTATTCTGTCTCTATGGATTTGCCTTTTCTGGGTATTTCATAGAAGAGGAATCATACAATGGGTGAACTTTTCTGTCTCCCTTTAAACTAGCATATTTTCAAGGGCTATCCATCTTACAACATGTTAGTGAGGACATTCTAAGGGTATTGAGGGTGGAGGGAGACAAAGAAGGACATTTGATCAAATGCAGTATACCCAGGAGGACTTTCCAGAGGAGGTGATGCCTGAAGCCTAAAGGATGATTAGGAGTTAGCCATAAAAATGATTAATGAATAGGATCTTATGGGTTTATGAATCACTTTTATATTTCTTTCTTTATTTTAAATATCATACATAATTTATTACTTTCTCAGTAACCGATTTTATTAGCTCTAACAGAAAACACAAAAAAAGTTTTATGTTAAGGGTAGAATATTTTTCTCAAATTATATACTGTACTGTGTACCATTCCTCACAGATGCCTCAGGGTAAACAATTGTCATATAATCCCTACAATGATCCTCTTTGGAGATTCACACTATATTGTATTCACATATGACAGCCTAGAAAATTTTCTTTATGTTAAAAATCCAGTTCGTTTTTTAAACATTGTGCTTAAACATATGATAAAACACTTTAACCCACTTTATATGTTTCAAGAACTGTTATGAATCACGTTTAAAGATAGGGTCAAAGAAACAGAATGTCTCCATATTCATCTTCACATGACTAGTGGAGGGTGCTGACTGTGGTGCAGGAGTTTCCTGGACCAAGGAGATGCTTTTTGCTGGGGCAGGGAAGGGACCTGGCTTTAACAAAAGAGGGTGGAAGTAAAGGGCATGGGTATAGCTCAGTGGCCTTAGCCAGTAGTTAGGCTATTACAGAGGCTTCTGTCCTCAGAGTGTCTAAGCCTTGGGCCCTCTTTTGCACACATCTGTGAAGTGGCATCTGGCTGGGTATAGGGATGGAACTGCAGAGCCCAGGGAGGAAGCCCTAGGACAACTCTACCTTAGTTCACAAAATTCCAAAATGAGGCTGAGCATCCAAGTGAAAAGGCCAGCATCATGCCAGGCTTAGAGGCAACCCTAGTTGGCTAATTAACACATGGATTCCAGCACTAGGGAACATCTACTTGAACGAGTGAGAGTACTTAAAAACCATCCCTTTAACACATCCTATACTTCAGAAAGGGTGACTCAAGCACACAGGGTTGCTGAGCAGGCTACTGGCAGAGCTGAGAGTAGAATCCAAGTGCCCCAAGCCCTTGGTGCTGTGCCCATGTTGCTGTGGGATCTCCAAGCCCTACCATCTCCCTTCTCCTGCACCCTCAAGTCCAGACTGGGCCCCTCTTCTGCTCATAAGCCTCTGAGCCTCAGCCCCATGAGGGCAAGGCTGAGGAGAAGGGCCTGCAATCAGTCTATTCAGTGGCTTGTTTGCAAAACAGAGAAAAAGGGTAGGACTGATTAAGGTAAATGAGGCATTTGAGTTTTTGCTTGAATTTAATCAAGTATACATTCTGTTCCTCCCTCTGCTCCCTGAAGCAGAGAGAGATGACAAGAGAGAAGGAGGAGTAGTGATTTATCAATTGTTCAGATTAAAGGCATTAGGAAAGAATGACTTCTCTCCAGGATTTATAACATGTTGGTGTTCGTGAGGTTCATACCAGTTGATTTTCTGAGATGGGAGGTTCAGGATGATTCCACAGACCATCAGCCGGTGAGCATCTCTTTAGAACAGACGGTAAGGGAGCCCATGGGGCCAAAGTGACAGCAACACCAAGATGGCTAATGTACCCCAGGACAGTGCTCATGGAAGCAAAAGATCCCCAGCGAGGGAAGGTTAGAGTCTCCATGTGCCTCTGTTGCTCAAATATCTCCTGTAAGTCTACTGAAGTGAACATTGACACCTGGAGAGAAGAGACAACAGACATTGGCCAAAGAGTTTGGATCTCTTTTGGATGGCTGAATGGAGTCAGGCCAGAGAGGGATCACACTAGGTCAGAGGAGGACCTGAAAATACTCAACCTGGAGAGGGCAGGATGGGTGGGGAGAGGTGTGACTGTTTCCTCCAATATCACAAGTTTTTCTGAGGGCACAGGGAATGAGATGTCCTTTTTGCATCTCCAGAGGACATTGGATTGGGGCCAGCATGGTGTGTGGGATTGCAGAGAGGCAGTTTTTCTCTGGATCAGGCCTGCCCACTGTCCATCCACTCACTGACTGTGAGATTGCTCTGCAAAACTTCTCCCACAGAGAACCATGGAGTGCTCTCCCCACCCCAGTGGTCACCATAACCAAAAGTGGCTAGCCCAGTTTTCATGTCATCCTGGCAAGAAGCAACTGATCACAATTTGTTTTCATCAGAAAGTCATGCGCTCTGTAACTATAAGGAAATGTCCCCAGTGGGCTGTGCTAGACTCCTAGAGTGTCCTCATCTTCCTCCATGGAGCGGCTCCTCCTGAGCTGGAATTGTCCCTCCTCCTGGCAGATGGGTGTCTACTTTTGGGGGAACTATTAGATCTCAGGTTGCCAACTTCTGCCAGTGGTTCATTAAGAAGCTCTGTCATATGGTACACACAGAACTGTGAGCTGCCTCTAACTGGGGCATACCTGAGGGGAGTGATGGGGCAGGTCTCAGGAGCAATGCTTCCTGCTATTTACAGAAAGCGGGTGCTGGTGTAAATAGCAGATCCCAGCTTTATCTAGAACTACTGTTACTATCTTTCCCTTTTTCCTGGAAACTAAACTATTTCCTTGAATACAGACACATTCCTTGTTTTGGCAGAGAACAGGAGGTATATGTGTGTGGGGGTGGGTCGGGGGGGGTTATGTGCCCTAAACAGGCTTGCGGACCACAGCATGCAGAGTGGGCATTCAATAAATGTTTAGCTACTTAATAGCTGTTTATTGAGTACCTACTGTGTAGCAGGCTCCACAGCTATTGAATTTTTTAAAAAGCACCTGCAATTATATCTGTCTGAAAAATAGAACAACTGGCTTCAGGAAGTGGCTATTATCACCCTGGCTTACTCATAAGCAGGAGTATGACTTATTCTGGTGCACGTTAGTTTAGCCTCATTCTCAAAGTCATTTTGTACCTGTGTCTTGTTTATCTATCCTCTGTCATTTTCCATACTTCAGTTTCCTTTTTTTGTTTGTTTGGAATTTTTTTGTTATTTCATTCTATGCTTTCCTATAAATTGCCTTACAAACATTATGGAACAAGATCGCACACAAAAAAATGCATGCAATCATAGGGAGTGGGAAGAAGAGAAGGTCAGCAAAATTAAGCAGCTTGCCTGATGCGCATAGGATCTGCCTGACAAGTGGAGGAGTGGGGATCTGACACCACAACCATGATCTGGCCAGAGCCTCACCATCCCCTAGGCCAGGACCTGACCTTGGGAGAACAACTTGCTATTCTTGAAAGAGCATGGCCACCTGATGAGCAGCATTGCCACTTTCTAATTGCAACCGTGGGCAGGTCATATAGATTCTGAGCCTCAGGTCTTTGAGATGTAATAAGAACTACTTTGGGCCAGGCCTGGTGGCTCACACCTGTGATCTCAGCACTTTGGGAGACTGAAGTAGAAATATTGCTTGAGCTCAAGACTTTGAGACCAGCCTGGGTAGCATAGCGAGCATTCATCTCTACAAAACAAGCAAACAAACAAAAAAACAATTAGGTGGGCATGGTGGTATGTGCCTGTAGTTGAAGGCTGAAGTGAAAACAATCATCTGAGCCCAGGAGGTCAAGGCTACAGTGAGCCATGTTCGTGCCATGACACTCCAGTCTGGACAACAGAGACCCTGATTCAAAAAACAAAATCAACAAAAACAAAAACGTAGCTACTACTTTGAAGGCTATTAAGAGGATTCAAACAGCATAAAATGATCAGTCTCTACTATGTTCACGATAAAAGCTCTCTCATGTCAATACCGGCCTGGCAAGACTGCTGGCCAATATGGCCATCACACTGTGCACCTGCTCACCAGCTTTTAGGGAGCTCTTGTGACTTGCTGGATCTCAAACTAAAGGTCTATATGTGTTCCTGTCAAAATAATCCTGTGAGGTAGGTGCATTTATTATAACATCAGATTTCTGTGATGAGAGAGCTATTCGGAGTCTGGATTTGAACTGGTATCCATAAACACAAAGCTCTGTTGTCTTTTCACAGTCAGCTAGTAGTTCAACCACTGGCCTTCTCGAAGGCCCTGCTGGCCCTGGGTTTCCTGTAACTGCCAGGACACCCAACCAATACGCCCTCAGTGGACACACAGTCATGTAGATTCCCAGACATGATCTGAGCTATGTGAGGTAGCGCAATGCTGCAGCTTCCCCATTAACTATGTCATGTGCCATGCAGAGATCTGTGGTGCTCAAGGCCATTCCAAGCATGAACCACAACCATACAAGTGCCCACAGAAATCATGCATTTTTTAAACAACCAAGTCCCTGTAAGCACAGCCGCATTCTACATAGTTCATGCTGATCAGTGTCCTGAGCACTTAATGAATATTATATCAATAGCTAACCATGGCCATTTTAGTTAAGTTTTCATTACATGATGAATGCATTCATATATTTATTGACACATCTTGCTCAGGGAAAAACACAGAGAGTAATACACAGGCCTTGTCCTGAAGGATCTGCTCATCTAGCAGGGGGCCGAAGTCTATGTTTCAAGGATGAGAACCAAGAAATAGCAGGGGCAAGTTTCTGGTTCACAGACACAAAGCTGGAATCTGGTTCCTCCAAATCCTGCTTTTTGTACTGAGACAGGCTGTTCTCAGACAATGAGAGGCCATGCTGTGCTGGGCCCATGATGCTGACAGGTCAGGGGAACAAACCCCTCAGGGCTGTGACCCTTTGTCTCCACCAGATACAAGTCAATGGTGAGAATCAAGCACAGCCTCAGGCATATGGTCATGACTGGCCTGCAATGCAGATCCAAGGTAGAGACCTCTACCATCCAATGGGCAAAGAGCTTCTCCCAACTATAGAGAACCATTTCTGTCTAACTGTGCCCACCTAGAGAGCCCAAAGAGGTCACTATCAATGTTGTTTTCTGCATATTTCATCATGGACTAGGCTTAAAGAACTCCACTCACATGGGAAAGCTTGGGACTTGGTGCGGCGGGGGGCGGGGGGGGGGTGGTGGCTCTACATGCTATCAGCTACCACTGTCTCACTGTTAAGACTACTGGATTATAGAAGGAATCCACAAAATACCACAACAGAAGAAAATCATGGAGTATATAGGACAGTGAAAGTTGCCTCACCATTGCACACATGATAATATTGAGACTCCCTCTTATGTCCTCTTGTGCCCACATTCTGGGCTCTGCCTGCTTTGCTATCTTTACCACACACTGTGAACCTCATCAGTTGTACCCTAAAGCCTCACTGGTCATGTTTCACCTTCTCAAAGTGCTCAGCACTACCCCACATAAGACTTTCACCCAAGGTTTTAGTTGAAGGAAGGATCTTCCTCCCCCTAGATGAATGCCCACCCTACCAGCCTCAAAGTGACTTGATTGTCTTCTCCATAAAAGTGGAAATAACAGTCTCCAAAGGGTTGAAATAAGAATTCCAACACTATTTGCCAAGCACTTAGGAACTTCTAGGCACATAGAACATGTTAGACCAGGATGAGCTATTTTATGATTAGTCAAAATTTAGGTTTTCACTCACCTACCACCTCCTCAGTGAAGTCTTTCCTAATCCTCCAGCCTATGCCACCCCCTATGTGTCATTTCCTAGAACCTCAACTTTGATTTCACTGTGTTTCTCACAACTTCTGTCTGCTCGTTGATTACACTAATTGTTTTAGGGTCGGTGTTTTTGTTTCTAGACCATAATTTCAGCAGTGCTGAACATTACACTTGGCGCAGTGCAGAAGGTCCTCAAATCAATGAATGAATGAATGATTTGGTGAATGCCAGTGGAAGAGACTTAGGATATAGTTGTGGAAGTATGAAATAAAGCATTTTTGTGATAAGAAATAGCCTAAATAGAGAGTCTGAGTGTTTGCCTTGTTCATTTCTGTATCTTCTGGTTTTATCCTGAGCGCTTACTGCAGAATCCATTTGCTTTGCTATTGGACTTTATCCATGGGTAGTGGGGACAGGGCAGAAGAAGGCAGTGGAATTATGGAGGAGAGGTGGGACAAAACCTGATATGTGTTTTGGGAAGAACACCCTGCCTGCAGTGTGGAGAATGGATGGGAGGGGAAGAGTTGAGGTGGAAAGCTGCTATAATGGTTCAATGTTGTCTGTGGTGGGGCCAGCATGGTGGGGTAGAGGCCAGGGTCACCATGGCTGAGTTTATGAGGTCAATGGCTACAGCTCTCCTGGGTTGTGTCTTGCAGGATCCTGGAACTGCAGGACACAGGTGATCTGGATGTGCTCAAGCAGAAGTGGTGGCCACACACAGGCCGCTGCGATCTCACCAGCCACACCAGCGCCCATGCCGACGGCAAATCCCTCAAGCTGCACAGCTTCGCCGGGGTCTTCTGCATCCTGGCCATTGGTCTGCTCCTGGCCTGCCTGGTGGCCGCCCTGGAGTTGTGGTGGAATAGCAACCGGTGCCACCAGGACACCCCCAAAGAGGTCAGCACCCTGGGTATATAGAGGCAGGAGAGTCACACTGGGCCATTTGGAGGGAGGTTTTTTTTTTCTAGTTAGTATTTACCTGAGCTATCTTGTCTGGAGACAGCAGTATTTTATATTGGGGGACTGTGTTAATATTTTATTTCATTTTTAAACCTGCAGAAAAAAATATAGAGGATGTTTTCATGCTTGAACAAAGTGCTGAGGTGCCAGCCACGGCCACTAAAGTCCTGTATTTATCTATAGAGCAGGTACAGCGTGGGCAGCGCCAGAGAGCCCTTCCCCACCCTGCCCCGCCCATGTGCCTCCACCCTGACCTGGAGAGACCACCTGTAGGGTAAGAGAGGAGCCCCATTCCTTCCTGATTCTCTTTGACTTCTCATCAAGGTCCACAAGGCCCTGCTCTCCCAGGGTGTGAGGGGGCCCCCTGTCCTGTCCTTCCTCCTCCTCTCCCTTTTCCTTGCAGGGCCCAGCCTTGCCCATGTCCTTCCTGGGTACACCCAGCTTAGGGGACATTGTAGCTGTTCAGACTCCAGATTCTGGGTGCACTTCCCTCTGTGTGTGCCAGCCACAAGTAGATTCTGCTCCCCGACACTTCCATCTCATTGGGTTTATGTTTTTTTCCAAGCTCATTTTAAAATTTCTGTTTTAAAACCTTCACCAAGGTCCCATGGATACCTAGAAACAGTTTCCCTAAGGGAGCATGGCAAGAAGTAGCATTTGGTGAGGATGCTCTGCCAACCCAAGGCCCAAACCCAGCCATGCCATCTGTAGGGCTATCACTACCTGCCACTACACCTCCAACTACATCTAGACTCTCAGCTCCACTTAGAGATCTGCTGGTGCAAAAAGATATAAATCTCAAACAGGAAGTAGCAAAGCAACCAGTGTCAAACCCCCAAACATTTCTTTTTTGTTTCTGTTTCTTGCCTGTTTTTGTTTCTTTTGGAGGCTCGTGGCATGTGGCAGTTCATAAAATGGTTTCAGAAATAAAGGGTCGAGGAGAAACAAAAAAGTAAATTGTGGTGGGAAAGAGAAACAACTAGGAAGAGGTAAGAACTCACTGGCTCTTTCTCAGCCTGATTCAGGGCAAGGAGTTACTGCCTCTGATCAGTAAGGAGGGATCCTCAGGACCACCGTCTCTGTAGCTTGAAGTGTATGGCTGGGCCACTACCCTAGAGACTGTGAAGGAATCTCTGGGGAGTCAAGGATGAGGACAGTGGTGGGCACCCCCTCGCTCCTTTCTGACCCTTCTTTCATACCAGACAATGAGCTCTTTGCCATTATACTTTCTTTTCCCAGAAAGGAAGGCGTGCTTGACTCAGCATGTTTGAAATGTGCTGGGGATATCCATCTTTCTCTCTTGCCTTCTGCATATCTCCATGTAACAGAATGGGAGTCCAGGGTTTTCCCCAGCTTTGGTGGCTCTCCTGTCACCCCTGAAGCTCAGGAGGGAATGAAGGAAGAGATTTGAGGAGGAAAAAACCCTGAAAGGAATAGTTTATGGTTCTATTCCAAGCTTCTTTGACGATTATAAAATTTTGTATGAAGGATTCCCTGGGAGGGACAGTTCATTATTCTGATAGGTAGTTTTAAGAAAGGGACGCAAACAACTCTCTCCAGCCTACTCATCATGTCAGCCCCTCCCTGCCATGGCCAGGGCACACCTCACCTACTTGCCATCACTGAAGTTTTTATGCATGGAAGCATCATCAGTCAGCTGGGATGGGGCGATCACAGAGCCATTCCCAGTAAGACCAGGTAAGACAGGGAAGATGAAAGAAACAGGCCCACTAGCTGACCTGCATTGTATCCACTGCCCACATTGTTTGTTTGGGGTTTTGCTTTCTTTTTCTAAGTCTTCAGGATGATTTCTTCTGTGCAAATGCCCCTTGGACTGGAGAGTGGTGGGAGGGGGTGTCTCCAGGTGGACAAGCATTGCACTGTCACAGAGGTGCTGTTCTGAGCAATGGACAGGGTGAGAGCTTGGGGATACAGTCTCAGCTTCAGTCTCCAAGATATTCTCTGGGAATCATGTGCAGGGAGAGCTTGTCCTTGAATTTGAAGTCCTTGTTTTTGTTCAGTCATGTTCCTTCACAGATCCTAGTTTAGTTCAGTTTCTGCCTATACAACAACCCAGAAATACTTGTTGTGGTGTGGCGTGGGGAGGGGGGAAGGGAGAAGCAAGAGAGAAATTGTTAGAGGGACACAGAAAAGAACACAGAAACAAAAAGAGAGAAAAAGAGACCATGTGACCAAGGGATGACCTAGCTGTGAGGAACAGCTTTTTTTTTTTTTTGCCAGTAAAACATCCTATCTTTTTTTTTCTCCTGGCTTCTGCATAAGTCCAGAATCTCAGTTAAGAAAGGATGAATACGTTGGCCCTGATTCCACAATGTGGGACTTCCTGCCCTGGCTGCCAACCTGCATCCGGATAGGAATGAGGACGCATGGAAAGGCAGGTTGTAAAATCACAGCAGCTGCCTGTCCTCCAGCCCCTTCTGGTGTTGCTAAGAAGGGCTGCATGGAAATTTTCCATGCTTTTCCTGTTTTTATGGGTTGCTGGTATTCAAATGAAATTTCTCCTTCCGCTTCATTCTTTAATAAGCATGCCTATAAAGACCCCGCCCCTGCCCTTAGAGAGCTTGCCTCCTCTCAAAGGCATATGTGGCAGAGAGCTCAGCTAGGCAGCCTCCACCCTGTTGCTGAGGGCTGTCCTGCAGTGAGCAGTGGTTACCACAAAATGCAGAGGGTCATGCAACCCAGCCAGGGCGTGCTGAGCTCAGAAAGAAGAGGGTTCTTGGCTGGTGAAGATGTCCTGGGTCTTGAGGGTGTTAGAACTGAGTGTTGAAGGATTGGCACAAATTCTGGAGCTGTGAATGAGATGGGAAGCTGCATTTAGGGAGGGGTGAACAACATGGGGTTGAACGGAAGTCATCACATCTCCTAGAGCTCCAAGGACTGCAGTGGAGGAAAAAGGAGCTGCTAGCAAAGCAGGAGGCAGGACCACTTCGAAGGACTTAAATGCCAGACCGAAGGGTTTGGACCTCATCATGTAGGAAATATGAACCAGGACACGGGGTTGAAACAACAGTATTTTAGAAGCATATATTTAAATTTTCAAAAAACAATGATGATATTTAATCCAGACTACTTCATGTTATTGGTTCATGTTTTATGAAGCAGCATTTGCAATTATGTGAGAGTGTCTGGGTAATCTTAAAATGTTTCAATTTGGGGCCTTGGCCGTATTTCTTAAGAGTCAAAACCCTGTCTATGGGAGGAGCCCAAGTCGTGTTTAATGGCTTGCGCTGGGATGTCTTCAGAGTATAGACACCTACTTGAAGAAGAGTAGTAATGTGCATTCAACCCCTTAATATTCATGTGGATTTGAGCTCATATTTTTTCTAAGGAATCAGACGATTATGTAGTTGCCCAATGCAGGTGAGTGCACCAAGCTCCGTGAATGCAGTAAAGAGCCACCCGCTAGATTTATGGGGGATGTGGAGCCATTGCTCTGTGAATAAAATATTCATGAAATAAAGATGAGAACTGCACAAATGGGAGATGACATGAGAAGTGAGGGATGAATCATCTGTCACTGGGCTGGGAGCTTAGAATTTTTGTTGCTTCCTGCCTTGCCTGCTCTCCCTTGGCCCTGCTCCACTTGTATACAGAAGGTGACAGAGGCTAGGGTAGCTGGGTGGCAGGAAGCAGAGTAGCAGGCAGCTGCTCCCCCTCTGTTCTGGCCTATGGGCAGCAACTCTCTGCATGCTTCCCCAGTGGAAGACTGGAACTTAGGGACCCTCCCTTTGACTCCACACCCTTCCTTGCCACCACTCCTTTGATACCTTCTTCAAGTGCGTGTAGAGATTTTTCTCTTCTGCTCTTCTTCCCTCTTTATTTATGCCAATCCAACAGTGTTACACCGAGGATTCAATAAGGAAGGTGTGTAAAGTGACTTAAAGATGCACATAGCCCAGAAATGTGCTTGGTTAATGATGGCCAAGGGGCTCATACCTATCAAGGGTCTGGAGATAGGCAGTGAGGAATATGGGGGAGTCAAGTCACAGCTTAGGGCACCTTCCCTATTCTGGACAAATTGTGTATTTTTAATCTTCAACAACCAAGGAAGGCATCTTTATCTCTGGAGAAATGGAACTCAGAAGTGGCAAAGGCAGAGCAAAAGTGTGAGTGATATGTTTATCTCTATTGACCTTCTTTCTACCTCTCAGAGGTAGACTTAGGTAAAGGACTAGAACACTAGGCTTTACACTGGGTGTATACATGAGCACAGGTTCCTATGTAGCATTTTCTAGAGGGTTTGGGAAATGAAGGGTGTGACTCAGTGTCCTACCCTGAGCCAGTTCTGGGCTCCTGGCTAGATATTTCCTTTCTTTGAGCCCTGGTTCCTCTCTTTTTCTGGAAACTGAGCCTGGTCTGACACGTACACTGCTGAGACCAGACGGTTTGGCATGAAGCTAAGGATAGTGAGTGTGCATGTGTCAGCCCTTAGCCTAGGGCCTTCCAGTGAGAAGGCACTGGACACTTACCATATACTACTGTGTATCTCAAAACTAGGTCATTGCCAAAGACTCTCCCATTTACCACTGGCTGCCTCTCTTGCTGGGTGTGATTCCTTTCACATTGCCAGTAATTGTTTACCTGCCTGTCTCTGCTTCAGATCTGCTGGTGCCTCTTCACCTTTGCTTTCCCATCAATTTGCCCACTCTCTGGAATAATGGAAGCTCTCGTTAAGGGGTGATGAATATAATTGAAGTATTGAGCACTTTCTATGTGCCAGGAACCAAGATGTATGCTTTACCAAGAACATTAGCTCATCTCGTAGTAGAAACTCAAATGTGTTTATTGAATGAGTGAACTAGTCTAGGCTCCTATAAACAAAACGTTACTAGTGTTAAATTGTTGTGTAATCATTGCAGCTGGATCAATGGCTTTCAATTCTGGCTGCACATTAGAGGTGACTAATTCTGGAGCTT